TGGTTTGGGAAATCTTCGTGCAGAGGAAGAACTTCCCTGTTTCCTTCTGAGGAAGCGCCAAGGTCCAAGTGAAGACCTTCCTATGTGGAGTAAGTCAATTAAGTTCTAAAAATATCCAGTTTGACATAAAAATAAACGCTGTAAACAAGGGCTAACCCCAAAGAAGGTGGCAGAAGACTCAAGATAGTTGCAGAGAAGCCCGGGAAGTGGCGGAGAGCGGCGTTCCCATTTCTCAGGCAGCAGTTTGTCCTGTTATTTATCACAGGTAATGTTAAAAAAAACCCCACAGAATTGGGGGGCTGCAATAGTGTTGGTTGTGGGGGGGACTGTATGTGCCCCCACGCACTGCACAAGGCCCATCCCGGTTTAGGCAAAGGCTGTGGGTTCTGGACCGCAGGAGAGTCTGAGGGTCCCAGGAGGGCAGTTGGTTCTTGCTCATTTCAGGGAATGTGGGTGAGGTTCCCCCTGAAGTGGGGAGCTGGGCAGAACCTGGCGGGGGTTGAGCGAAGGAAAGCACCCCCCCATCCATCCTCATCCTCATCTTTTGCTTGTTGGAGTGGATGCCTGAGTGGACGAGGAGAGCAAAGAGAAAGGGCTGGAGAGCTCAGGGGTGTCGGAGGTCTCTGGCTGCAGAACCAGCGGTTGGGAGTTCGACCCCCCCCTCCCACGGGGCCTCCTTGACAGGGGCTGGACTGGATGATCTTTAGGGGTCCCTTCCAGCCCTGCCCCTCTAAGATTATAATTCGAAAGGAAAGGGAGCACCAAGAGAGAGTTTCGGCTCCAGGTCCTCCTCTTCCTTCCCATCCCCACATTTCCCCACTTGTTCCTTGAGGTTGCTGGAGTCCCTTTCTTAACTCCGGTCACAGAGGGAGGGTCATTCTCGGGTCAGTTTTGGAACTCCCTCCTTTCCCCCCAACCGTTGGCAGAAGACTTCATGCTTAGCTCCTTTAATAATGGATGGCCACAGGCAGAAAGTCTGTACCTCAGCAGATTGGAGGGGTGGGAAATGGGGACATGACCCAGCCTGGGCGGCCGACTCTGCCTCTGGGTTCTGCTTGGCCTGCCCTCCCCAACTTAATGGCCTGGATTCCTCCTGCACGCCAGGGTACGGGAGCCCCCATTATCTGTGGTGGTCCAGACTGCATGGACGCAGTGCCCACAACCGCCGCCCACTAGGTAGGATGTCTCTTCTAAAAATGTGCAGGGTATCCCAGTTTCTAATGCCTGTTTCCCCCTCTCCTCTTTGCCACCCCAACGCAGCCGGGGCCTGAATCCCCCTCACCGGGTCAAGTCCATCTCCATGACAACCTTCACCGAGGGTGAGGTGCAGTTCCTCCAGACGCGCGGAAACGAGGTGAGTGAGTCAGAGGCTGGTCTGCCTGTTCAGGCGACACTGGCAGACTGAACGACCGTGGCAGCCAGCCAAAGGCACCCATCCAGCCATTTTTGAAGCTGGAAAAAGGGGGCCTCTGAAAGCAAAAGGTGACCTTCCCCCCCCATGTCCACCTCTCCTTCCTTCCTTCCTTCCTTCCTTCCTTCCTTCCTTCCTTCCTTCCTTCCTTC